TCTTCTTTTACTTGTGTTTTGCCACCCCCGTCGGACTCAACTTGTATCGGCCCCAATCCCTGCTGGCCCGTCTGTCTAAGATCTAAACACAGCGTGGGTAGACAGACCGGAGATCAGTACAGTTGCTTCAGTAACCAGGTATTGGAAGCGAGTTGGGAAAGGCGAGGCTGGTGATCATCCAACCAAGGGGTTGGAGCGGCACGCTTGGAACCAGGAGGAGCGACCAGGAGGAGCGACGTCACAGTTGGCGCCGTAACCAAGGGATTCGACCCTGGGCCAGGTGTGTAACCGTCACAGAAGGTTTCATGCCTTTTTCAAAAACTAATTTACTAGCTGACTTTGGGTCAGAGAGACTTACTCTTCTTGAAATCTTTTATCAGATATTCAATAATAATGATAACAACGAAATTAAACTCTTACTGCATAAAGTTTTCTTAACATGTTAGTTCTTTTTGCTTAATACTAACTTTCTGGATAATGGTAATCTTAAGATCGGTTTATTTTATATTTTAAATAATCTCCTCTCTAAAAATTAAATTCCATGAACTAATAAGTTAAATATTTGCAGTAATGTGGCACGGTGGAGTAATGGATAGCTGCTCGGATTGAGGAATCGGAGAGCTGAGTTCGAATTCCAATCGAATCCAATACATTCACTAATAATTCACTAATGAATCCTCGTCCACTCCTTCCAGTTATGGTAAATAGCAGGACAGACCGGGTTCTACAGTCTTCTTCTACTGCGGGATAAAAAATCTGCCTCGTCAGTCATGTATCGAAATATACATGATCGCCTAAGCGTGTATCACGCATGGCACATTAATGACTGAATGTGGCAATGAAATTTGATGGCGCACTGGAGCAACAAAATGTTGCGCAAAGTATTGTATTAAGAAACAGCCAGTCATCTCTGAGTGTTAACTTATATATATATATATATATATATATATATATATATATATATATATTTAAATTTAAATAAATGTTTATTTTTCTTTCTTCCTCTTTTAATATATTTTTTTTTCTTTTTTTCCTCCCTCTTTTCCTTTTGCCTGGACAAATTGATTTCATTTCTAAAAAACTTCGGTCTGAAGAAATGAATATTTGAATATATTCATGAAATAAATTATAGCCGAAATAGATTTTTAAGTATATGTGCTTGTGTGTGTATGTGTGTTTGCGTGCGTGTGTGTGCGCGCGTACGCACATAAATGCATCTATCTTTATATAGATTTATAGAATTGCATGTATATATGCATAACCCTTTTCACTGCAGTGTCATTTCTCGCACTTCTCACCTGCGGAAGTCTCTTCCGATTTTTTGCATGTCTGTCAAGAACAATCTTCAAAAATTTAAATGTCACATCAATCGCTATCTTCTGCCTTCCTGAATCCTGTTCCTTTCTTGCCCTTTTTCCTCACTTCTCACTAAATCTTTATCATTCTTTTTCATTCCAAGTACCCTCCACTTGCGCCATAGTGACATTACCACCTTGCTTGGAGTAAAATGAGATTATGACTGGTCACAGTAAATGAATATTTCGTCATTAAAGAATTCTGACAATATTCATTTTCTATAATATTGACTACGACAGATGAGTAATTGGCTGTTATTTTATGAAGGGGGGTATATACATGCATTATCTATCTCTATCTCCCTCTCTCACACACACACACATATATATACATATATATATATATATATATATATATATATATATATATATATAAAATCCCTTACTATAAAGGTAATTTATATTAACCAGAAAAAAGGCTTAGACACAAGCGTCTATCTTTTTTAAATTTGGATTTTTAATGTAACTATAACAACAAAAACATTTCGATTTCATTTTTGCCTTGAAAAAGTCGGAAGATGGAACGCGTCGGTAAAATGTAAGATTTTTTTTCCAATTGTCATATGATGCCAATCTGTCTTCTCCACAGAATTCATCTGGGAATTTAACTACATATATATATATATATATATATATATATATATATATATATATAGTTTTAAGGTATGCTATATTTACGGGTACAAATGCTCAATATCAGTGATAGGGCATAGGTAAATATAAACGTGAATACTAAAGTCAACACCGAACGGTGACAGTCTATTTCTGGCTATTGAAGATTCTATTCAAACATAAAACGCGCGTACGCACACACACACACAAATGCTGATACTCCTCGTTTCCAAGCAGATATGAAATAGTTTTATTCGTTCGGTTTATTAAGTAAATTTTCTACTTGACAAATCATGAAGATAAGAAAAAGTTAATATAAAATAGAAATAGATCCAGTTTGCTATATAAATTCATCTGCCTATAAAAGCCACACACACATACATATAAGTGTGTGTGTGTGGATAGATAGATAGATAGATAGATAGATAGATATCCGATGCGATGAGAACGAAAGTAATATATCAATTCCAACGTTCGCAGCATTAATCCAAAAGCGATTCTCACCCGTCGAACTGCAGCTGAAATGCACTGAAACGAAGTTGCATCTTTGTAGTAAGTGGTTTTGTCTATATGATAAAATTATAATAGATAGATAGATAGATAATATTGCGTGTATATATGTATGCTTGTCTGGCACAATCTTCAAAAATTTAAATGCCACATCAATCGCCTATTTTCTGTCTTTCTGTATCCTGTTCATTTCTTGCCCTTTTTCCTCACTTCTCAATAAATCTTTATTCTTTTTTCACTCCCAGTAACCGCCCCCTTGCGCCATAGTGACATTACCACCTTGCTTGGGGTGAAATGTTTAAAAAAAAATTTCTATAGATATTTATGAGTTTATTATTTATTTATTTAGTATAGCGATCTACCAAGATCCCAAGACGGAGACATTAGCTTCTTTAAAATCAAAACAGGGGCCCTTTAGGATGAGACCCTTGCACCCTCTTTGTTATCACCCTTGATTACGTATTGAGAACTTTCCTCAAGAAATATCATCTAGGTTTTACTTTATCCCCTGAAGACTATCAAATCGGTATCCTGCAAAAACGTTGACTGCTATTGACTATAGAGATGACCTAGTTATCACTGTAGACACCATTACCAATTCTACGCTTCTGCTACATCATCTGGCAAATGCTGCTAGCAATGTTGGATTCTGTGTCAATAACTCTAAAACTGAATTCGTAAGCTTCAACCAGCAAGGTTCAATACAAACTGTCTCAGGTGAATCAATAAAATCTGTTAAATCTTTTACATAGCTTGAAAGTGAAATAAATTCTACTGAAAAGAATCTGAAGATTCACATCGTTAAAAGCCTGGACCGCCTTGAACAAAATGTATGCAATCTGATCTTCCCGACAACCTCAAGCGGAGATTCTTCGAACCAATGTAGAGGCAGGGTTAATGTACCTTACCACTGCCTGGACATTAACTAAAACTCTAGAGTCTAAGCTTTATGGAACCTACACTCGGATTCTGTTACACTGGAACACATTCTATAGTTAATAGACTCTCCTGCCTATAATAAGTAGTAGTAGTAGCAGTCGCTAACTCAGGAGCTGAGTGAGTCGCTCAGTCAGTCGATGTTGGACGACCGGCTGACCGGTTGAACTCTCTGCCTTCGGGCGGGGAGGAACCCGAACGAGGCTACGCCGAAAGGCGGAGTCTCTTTTGGGTAGGGAAACCGTCCCTGAACCCGTTTATACGAGTTCAATGAGCATATTTTTTGGTCCGAGCCAACGAGCTCGGAGAACCCACAATAAATAACCGACCTTGTGTCACATGATGCCCCCAGTGTGGGAGGGGGGTGACTGAATATCCAGTCGATGTCGAACACTAAGAGTATCAGCGACCACCGCTAGATTTCTTTGCGTCATTACTTATTATATCAAGTTCCTAACGTTTTGTACGTCGAACCTATTTTAGGGCCGACTTAGTGAAATACAAGCCTCCACTGTGAAACTACTCTACAACAGATTCTGAGAGCTATACCTAAAATCTCTTGGAGACAATATCCAACTAAACCACAGCTCTATGGACCCATCCCTGATATTTCTACAATCTTACGGGAACGCAGAATGCAATTTGCAGGACATTGTTGGCGAGCGAAACAAGAACTTACGAGTGATCTACTGACCTGGACATTACGAACGGCTCGACCAGCAACCACCTACATTGGTCAGCTATGTTATAATACATAATGCAACCCTAATGACCTTCCGAGCTTGATGCAAGACCGTAATGATTGGAGTGATAGACTCATGAAGGCACGGGCTAGCTCGACGGATTAAGAATAACAGATCAAACTCTTTTCTTGAAGGAAAGCAAGAATTTTCTAGTTATATACTTGTTGGTAGTCTCCCCGGCAAAGTCTAGGGCCACAGGTGCATTACCCTATCGTTTCCATAGTACGTAGATTTTTACGAGGTGGAGATGGTAACCTCATGCTCAACGGGTTTTGAAAGCATAATTCTCTGAAACTGGTTGCTTCCCAAAGCTAGTGAAACCAGTCTGCATTTAACGGAAGATAAGGGGAGATGGATTCATGCCTCCCTCAAGGGTATGTGTGCAAAAGCGGATGTAACTGCATTCATACTACTGGAACTTACCTATTAATAAAATAATAATTGTACGTCATTCCTATCGCGAAGGGGGGAGTACAGACAGCAGCAAAAAAATAATTTGCACCCCTTACTTCGTGAAAATGATGTAAATTAAGTATGCGAATTTTATACAGGCCCCCTCAAATTAAAAGCAAACCTTACCTCTCAAAAGATAGCGGTGGTGGTCCAAAAACACGTACTTGTGACACTTGTAAGTTTACATTCGTTAAAAAAGGCAAATTATTACAAAATTAATTCTTACTGGATTAAAAATATATAATTATAAATATTTATTTACAGTTTCCCGGCAAAACATATTTCGTTGTCCATCTTTGTAGAATGCAAACATTTATTTTTTTGCAATATCCTGGCGTGCAATCATACAAAGACGAAACAACCAGATTTTTCCCGCTTTTGGTTACCGCGCATGCGCACACCTGCTCTTTTCACACGAAAGCAGCTCGCTCTGTTTCGTGATGTAAATCCACACACAGCAGCAACTTCAATGGCGAATTTACCTATTACGTATTCGCATTACGTTATGCTACGTCATATATCTGCATTACGTCATATGACATCACCAAGCAGACGACGTCATTGTAGTTGTCTGTTGCTTCGTTTTTTGTTGTTGTTTTTTTTTTTGTTTTTGTTTTTAATTGTTACTTTCGGGCAACCGAACGTTAACATCGATGCCTGTATTTCTGCAAGCCTGGATTGCTAAAGTGCAAAGACCTGTAGGAAAAAAATAGGCATCACTACCTAGATGCAAGCTCGATAGCTATTGGCGTCGATTGAGCGAACATGTAGCTGCAATCGATTTTCTCTTTCTTAGCTTTCTTCTTTAAATTCTCTCTATGAATTTCTAATAATCTAGATTCTTTCTATTTTCTTGGGCATTTTTTCTTTATTTGATAATTTACTTTTTTTTCTCTTCGTTTGGCTAAACTCTCACCTTCTCTCTCTCTCTCTCTCTCTCTCTCTCTCTCTCTCTCTCACTGTTTTGTAGTAGTTCTCTGTATCTTTTACTCTCTCTTTTTTTCGTTCCTTTTTTCGTCGTCTTTCTTTCCTCTCACAATTTTTTCTTTTCTTTTTTTCAAACAGATTTTTGAGTTAATTTTTTTTCTTTTATTCTTTCTTTCTCTCGGATTTCATTTTTCTCGCTATCTTCCTCATTTATATTTTAGACTTTTTCTTCATATCTTCCCACTTTATTTTTCTCTCACTTTCTTTCATCTTTCATCTTTCCCGATCTTTCTCTATCGCTTTCGTTTTCATTTTCGCATTGTTTTTTTTGGGGGGGGTATTTTTAATAATCCCTTTGTACGGATTTTTAATATATTTTATTCTTATTAATTTTCTTTTTTCTTCTTCTTTTTTCCTTGTTTTTTCTTCTTCATTTTCTACTATTTTTCTTCTTTTACTTCTTCGTCTTCTTTACGTTTTTCGTCGTTTTCTTTTTCTTTATTTCTTCTTTTTCTTCTTCTTTTCCTTTTTTCTTTTTCATTTCCTTCTCCCTTTACTTCATTTCTTCATTTTCCTTCTTCTTCTTCGTCTTCTTTCTCATTACTACTCCAACTCCTACATCGATTCCACTATCTTTCCCACAGTTTTCTTTTTTTTTCATTATTATTTATTCTTTTTAGTTATGATTTCTTTTTAATTTCTTTTTCACTTATTACGAATTTTCTTCTTCAATCTCTTCTTCTTCTTCTTCTCCTTCTCTCGATTTTTGTCTTCAAATTATTCTGCATTCTTCCTTCTTTCATGCACCTCTTTCGTTTTCTTTTACGTTTACTCTTTATCTCTTCTCTTTCTTTTTTTTTTTTCCTCGTTACCTTTTCTTTTTCTTCTGTATTCTCTTTTCTTCTTTTTCTATTTCTTTTTCCTCGTCTCCATTTTTTCTTCTCTTTCCTTTTTCTTCTTCTATATCTTCTTTTCAGCTCCCGTTTCTTTTTTTTTCTTCTTTTTCTTCTTTTACCTCTTTTCCCTCTTTTACTTCTTCTTTTACCTTTTCTTTTTCTACTTTTACCCCTTTTTCTTCTTTTACCCCTTTTTCTTCTTTTACCTCTTCTTTTTCTTCTTTTGCCTCTTCTTTTTCTTCTTTTACCTCTTCTTTTTCTTTACCCCTTTTTCTTCTTTTACCTTTTCTTTTTCTTCTTTTACCTCTTCTTTTTCTTCTTTTGCCTCTTCTTTTTCTTCTTTTACCTCTTCTTTTACCTCTTCCTTTTCTTTTACTTCTTTTTCTTCTTTGACCTATTTTTCACCTTTCTCTTCATTTTCTTCTTTTCTTTCTTTCTTCTTCTGTTTCCTCTTCTTCTTTCTCTTTTTCCACTTGTCTATGTTATTCTATTTTCCTCTTTTTCATTTATTTTTCCTTCTCCTTTTTTTCTATTTCTCTTTCTTCATTTTTTTCTTTCTCTTTATATTTTTTCTTCTTTTACTTCTTCTTTTCTTACATCTTCCTGTTCTCTAATTCTTTTCCTTCCTATTTTATTCATGTCGACTGATACCGTATCTCAAATGATATTTTTCTCTTTCTTTTACGTTTCTTACTCTCTCTCTCTCTCTCTCTCTCTCTCTCTCTCTCTCTCTCTCTCTCTCTCTCTAGCTTTATTTTTTTCCTTCTTTTCCCCTTGACATCATTCTGACTTATTCCCTTTCATTTTCATATTCTTTGCTTGCTTTCTTCACATTATAAGGATTTCATTGCCTACTCTTGAGAAAAAAACAGGCCGGGCTCGCTTCGCAGTCAGCTGTGAGCTCTATCATTGCTACGAAGGCGCGTGATATTTTCTGATAGTTACGACACGTGAATCTAATCTTTGTAAATAAATGCAACCCTGATCCGTTCTGATATTTTTCTGTAACGCTAAAAATATAAAATATGACAAGGAAGTTAACAGGTTCGTAAATATTTCCTCTAACAGTCAAATGACAACGTAAATAGTGATAAGGAAAGGGTGGGGTCTAGAAGGAGAAGACGAAGGCAAAGGTCAAAAGAAAAAACAAGAAGTAGTTAGTCAGGGAGAAGATATAAAAAAAATAGGACGAGTTCGGGGTGAAGAGATGTAGATGGTAAGGAAAAAGAGAGACGCAATGAAAACGTCAAAGAAAGAAAGAAAGAAAGAAAGAAACAAACAAACAAACAAAGAAACAAACAAAGAAAGACTAGAAGAAGAAACAAAGAAAGAAAGAAAGACTAGAAGAAGAAAGAAAGAAAGAAAGAAAGAAAGAAAGAAAGAAAGAAAGAAAGAAAGAAAGAAAGAAAGAAAAGAAGACGAATACAGTAAAGGAGGTCTATAATTATAATCTTCAGATATAAATCAATATAACGTGGCTTCTCAAGAAAAAAAACATGGCCTGTTGTTAGTGGGGCTTTGAGGAATGATATTAAAAAAACAGCAAACAAATATGTCGATCAAATTCCAGGCAGACATAAAATATGTGAATTATAAAAAATCATATTCACGTCTATTTCTCACATCTTGTTTAGTTTTCTCTCCAAGCGATGACCACAGTTGCATTTTTCTTTTTTTCATGATACGCCATGTTTGTTTTGTTTCCTTAATGGCACATCAACACCTTATGGATCATTTAATACTGAAAAATTTTCTTGGAAGCTTAAAAATAAAAATAATATATGTTATTCTGCTTTCACAATTGGATACATGGTAAATGAAACTCAGCTTTTGTGCATATACATGTTTGTGAGGACATAATTACTAGAAGGAGTGATATGTGTGTCTTATCTTGTTTTTTTAATGGTATATTTTCTTATACGGTTGGATTTAAGAAATTATAGGATATTATATGGATTAATGTCACGAAAGAGTTCTTTAATGTTGGTTGTGTGGTTGATTCTGTTTAGCGGCATATCAACACCTCTATGGGTTATTTAATGCCGAAATCTAAATATTTGGAACATAATTTTATGACGTCAACTAAATATATTTTGAACGCAATTGTATGCCTTCAACTACAGATAAAATGTATTGTTGGTCATTTTACTATAAATATGTATTGTTGTTTGGTTGATTTTATTTAGCGGCATATCAACACCTCTATGGGTTATTTAATGCCGAAATCTAAATATTTTGAACACAATTTTATGGCTTCAACTAAATATATTTTGAACGCAATTGTATGCCTTCAACTACAGATAAAATGTATTGTTGGTCATTTTACTATAAATATGTATTGTTGGTTGATTGATTTTGTTTAGCGGCATATCGACATCTATATGGGTTATTTAATACCGAAATCTAAATATTTTGAACACAATTTTATGGATTCAACTAAATATATTTTGAACGCAATTGTATGCCTTCAACTACAGATAAAATGTCTTTTTGGTCATTTTACTATAAATATGTATTGTTGGTTGGTTGATTTTGTTTAGCGGCATATCAACACCTCTATGGGTTATTTAATGCCGAAATCTAAATATTTTGAACACAATTTTATGGCTTCAACTAAATATATTTTGAACGCAATTGTATGCCTTCAACTACAGATAAAATGTCTTTTTGGTCATTTTACTATAAATATGTATTGTTGGTTGATTGATTTTATTTAGCGGCATATCAACACCTCTATGGGATATTTTATGCCGAAATCTAAATATTTTAACACAATTTTATGGTTTCAACTAAATATATTTTGAATGCAATTGTATGCCTTCAACTACAGATAAAATGTCTTTTTGGTCATTTTACTATAAATATGTATTGTTGGTTGATTGATTTTGTTTAGCGGCATATCGACATCTATATGGGTTATTTAATGCCGAAATCTAAATATTTTGAACACAATTTTATGGTTTCAACTAAATATATTTTGAATGCAATTGTATGCCATCAACTACAGATAAAATGTCTTTTTGGTCATTTTACTATAAATATGTATTGTTGGTTGATTGATTTTATTTAGCGGCATATCAACACCTCTATGGGTTATTTAATGCCGAAATCTAAATATTTAGAACACAATTTTATGGCTTCAACTAAATATATTTTGAATGCAATTGTATGCCTTCAACTACAGATAAAATGTATTGTTGGTCATTTTACTATAAATATGTATTGTTGGTTGATTGATTTTATTTAGCGGCATATCAACACCTCTATGGGTTATTTAATGCCGAAATCTAAATATTTTGAACACAATTTTATGGCTTCAACTAAATATATTTTGAACGCAATTGTACGTCTTCAACTACAGATAAAATGTATTGTTGGTACTTCTATATAAATAGGTATTGATTATAATTTTTATATAAAAATGTACTTTTACCCTTCCGTAATGTTTTGTTTTTGTTTAGAGGTTTACTATTTGCTGGAACCCTAACAGGTGCTACCACCCCAAGTGTGTGTGTATCTGGGAACAACAGCAATTAAGATGTGTTCCTAAGCTCCTCAAAACCTCCAATCCCCTAATCAGAAGCCTTGTTGCCGGATGCAGTCTGTTGCCATACCCAAGACAAGTACTTTATCTGCATCTTCTGTCGCAAAGAAGAAGAAGAAGAAGATGATGATGATGATGATGATCTCGGAGGATAGGGAAAAAGACGAAGACTGACAGGAGGGTGTGAATAATAATAATAATAATAATAATAATAATAATTTACCAAGGAGCAGTTGAAGTTATCCCTTTTGTGACTGGCACACTCAGGGTCCTTTCCAGAAATATTTCTTCTACGCAGGACGCCTTGGGACACCGGGTATCATTTGGAGTGCGCAGGTGGCAGCTCTGCCTGGAACAGCTCATGTGTTGATAAGCTGCGGATAAGAGCTAAGGGATGATTATAATCCCCCGGCCGAAACAGCTGAGAGTCAGAAAGAATGTCAAATCAGAAGCTAATGACGAGGAAGAAAAAATATGTAGAAAGAGTAGACGGGGGTAGACTATTTACATTATTCAGACTATTGTCCTCATCTTTGTCACCATATTTATCACAACGTTTCGGCTGTTGTACACTCCGTCCTTCTTCAGGTGGTTGGAATGTCGAACTGAACCCTTTATTTCGCTCACTGGGGTAGACTGTTCTAGTTCCACGTGCCATATCTAATGGATGTCAGTTGTCTCCTGTTAATTGCACTCTCCAAGTTCTCCACCGCCTTAACCAGGTATTGAACTCACACTCTTTGGGTCCTGTCACTGGATCTCAAGGACACAAGGCACAGTAGATAAAGGCGTTAGTTAGATCCAGTGACAGGACCCAAAGAGTGTGAGTTCAATACCTGGTTAAGGCGGTGGAGAACTTGGAGAGTGCAATTAACAGGAGACAACTGACATCCATTAGATATGGCACGTGGAACTAGAACAGTCTACCCCAGTGAGCGAAATAAAGGGTTCAGTTCGACATTCCAACCACCTGAAGAAGGACGGAGTGTACAACAGCCGAAACGTTGTGATAAATATGGCAAAGAAGATGAGGATGATAGTCTGAACAATGTAAATAGTGTACATAATACATCGTCTCAGAAATATAGACAGATACTAGACTGAGGTAGTCAAGAAAATGGCAAATTATAATAAAAATGATACACAGGCCTAGTACAATACTTAGAAACAACATGAGATAAGTAACTGAATGGTACGCTTCAATGCGAGAGTGCTAAGAATATTTCCATCATTAAACAAAGCCAAGAAATATGAAGCTTCTTTGATGTAATTATTATTATTATTATTAAAATACACCTTTAAATGTCGAATCTAGGTGCGTCGTCAGTGTTGTTGCTCCCATGTCACTAGAAGTTTTGGGTCTAAATAAACAACAGACTTCTTCGATGGGCGACCCGACCGAATATGATCAGTATTCGGCCCGCACCTAGAACAAAAATTTGCCACTAGCTTTAGGACGTGAATTATATAAGTTGCCCCAGTAGACAACAACCAATCAAGACTTCCTTTGGGCTATTCGAAGTTATAGATTAGGTATGCATGGTTGTAGTGATCTTCCTACATGCGGCCAAGATAGGGTGTTTTTTGGAAGAACAGAAGAAAACAAACCAATATATATATATATATATATATATATATACAAACACACACATATATAGACAAAAAAACCAAAAAAAAACGATTTATTATATTGGCTCGTCTTGCAAATACTTAAGACAACAAATATCCTGAACTTCTCACTGCTACAGCAAAGAACATTAAGTTACTGCTAAAAGCTGCTTATATAAAAACTCTTGAACAAAAATGGAGATCTAAAGCGTTGCATGAAAAAGGCAGACCAGACTTCGATGTTTGCCAATTCCATTAATGGCTGAGAAGCAGTGGTCAAGGGGGAGACAAAAGGCCTTATTATGGCATCACAATACCAATGTCTTACAACTAAGGCCTACAGGGTTAAAATCAACAATCATGGCTTAAATCTCGCTTATGCCATAAATTTGATGAAACTGTTGGCCACCTATCAGGTTGGCCAGTCCTTGCTGAGAAAGAATACGTTATTAGACATGACAGGCTAGGACAATATACTCATTGGCATGCCTATTCGAACTACGGTATTGAAGTTTCGGAAACATGACACAAACACCACCCGAATGATATCACACCAATTATATTTTGAAATATAACAGTTCATGTGGCACAAGGCCAAGATAAAGGTGTGGAAAAGCTGGTTGTCA